AGAGGAAGAGAAGAAAGCACCTCGACCATGGAGAATGGTCACGGCACAATTCCCTTCTCCATCTCTCCTTCATTGTGGGATTTGGGGGCACGCACTCCAACCATGCAGTTGGCCATGTGGGATCCAGCCACCTTAATCACTGTAACCACCAGGCCATAGTCGGTCCACAAGGAGTGAGTTTTTAAAGGGCGAGATAAACAAATTATTTCTCTCCATGGATTACTCTTCCTCTTCTTGCTTACACATAGAGAAGCATTTGCGTAACGCATGTGGCACCCTAAATGACGCACTTTCTGTGCCGCGAGTGTCACACCTGTGTGTGATCAGGGTGGCTCGGAATGTGGACTCTCTGGGTGTCCGCACAGCATCCGTACCTCCTACCTACCTAGGTCTGGGTGCGCTTCCACGCCCGACGCTACAGGATTAGCTCCACTAGTCTAATTAGTGACTCTTAAACGGCCACACATTCAAATCAGCCAGGGAGGTTTGAGAAATAAGAAAGCCCAGAACCACTTTCCTTCACACACACACACACCGAGTTAAAATACAGACAACATAAAGTTTACATCTTAATAAAGTTAAGGTGGTACTAAAAACATTTACATTCTTGCACAACCATCACCGCCATCCATCTCCAGAATCTTCATTTTATAAACAGAAACTCTGTATGCATTAAATAACTCCCCATCCCTTCTTCACAAACCATTCTGTTTTCTGTCTCTTAGAAATAGATTATACTAGGTACCTCATATGGTGGAATCATATGTTATTTTGTCTTCTCATGACTTGCTTGTAGCATATATTAGAATTTTCTCTTCTCCTCACCTCTTCTCCCTCCCTCCCTCTCTTCCTTCCTTCCTTTTTTCTTTTTCAAAATTTGCCAGACGGTGGGTGCACTCATCAGAGAGACAGAGAGAACGAGAAAGTACCCTCCATGGGGAACAGCCATGCCATAATCCTTTTTCCTCCATTTCTCCTTTTGGGATTTTGGGCAAACATGCACACATACCCAGGGTGGCTTTCAAGCCACTGGGTTCAGAACTTGAACCACACAGTCAACATGTGGGATCTAGGTCACTTAACCAACAACTCATAGGTTAGCCCATTTTTCCTTTTTTTTTTTTTTTTTTAAGTTGATTTATTGAGGAAAGGAAGGAGGAAAAGAAAGAGAGAGATAGAGAGAGAGAGAGAGAGAGAGAGAGAGAAATAGGCACCCCTTGACAGGGTCTCTTCACACCATGATGTCCTCATCTAACTTTCCAGCCAGCCAGGGTCACTGGGACAAGCCCAGCATGTTTCAGGGTGACCTGGGATCTCAACAGTGGTTCTTCCCTGTGGCTCCGGCACTGCGGACACCATCCCACTGCCTGCACCACCACACTTGGACCCCCTTCCTTCTTAAGGCTGAATGGTATTCCATGCTACATAGACACACATTTCATGTAGACACTCGTCTGCGTGGACACTTCCACCTTTAGGCTGTCAGGAATAATGTTGCCATTATGGGAGTGCACAAATAGTTCCAGAGACGAGTATGCAGCCGGGGTTGAGAGCCATCGCACATGGCATCCTCTGGAGAGTGTGAAGTGTTCGGAGGTGAGGCATGCTCTTGTAGTTGCCTCTGTCCAACTGGTCCATGCTAACCACAGCCCTTGTCATATCAAGCCATCAGCGGCTTAGCCGTCTGTCTCCTCTGATAGACCTGGAGACTCTGGAGAGTGGGTAGGTCTGTTTACCTCCATATCTCCCAGATCTAGCTCCACGCCTGGCTTCCTATAGGTGCTTATTAAGTTACTGCTGAATAAGGAAGATGAGGAATCCATCATTTCACTCTAGCCTGCTATTAAAACCAACCACTCCTTTCTGCTACTAGAAATCACACACGCTTGTACCATAGGTCATGCTCCATTTCTGCAATCTGACTAGTGCTTGGGCCTGAGCCTGAGTCAGAGTTTATGATCTTCATGAAATAAAATTATGAGTATGAAGGAAGGCTTGGCTCCCAAGAGTCGAACAAGATGGGGTGGGAGGAACAGTCACTGTGGCCTTTGCTCTAGTTTCCCCTGGGACAGATACTCCCCGAGAAGTGGCTGTTTTATTCCTTGCATCTGAGTGAGAGGCCTAATCGATTTTCTTGCAAATATCTGTTTCCCCAATCCCATATCCCACTTTAAAAAGAACAGAAAGAAATGTGGCTGCCTTTTATTTTTTGAAGGGGGTTTGTGTGTTCTTTGTTCTTGTCCACAGCTCATGTTCTTGTGTTTTACTTAGGTTTTAATTTTAACCTGAGGTCCCATAGTCATTTTTATTAAAAACTATGGAAATGAAAAAGTAGCTCCAGATAAAAGAAATGCCAGAACACCCGCGAGAATTCTCCTTAATTGCACGTTGAAGCCTATGAACGTGTTTGTGGGGAACGTCTTTGGAATGTGATGCTGCAGTGTAGCAAATCGAGAATGTGCCCCTTCCCTTCTCTCAGAAGCCACCAGCTGCAGTGTGCAACGGGATGGGGACAGTGAGGACGTGCCTTGGAAGGTAGAATGAGAAGATGGGCCACGTCTTACGATTCAGTATTTCCAAGATCTGAGCTCCACTTTAGCCCACACAGTACATTAGTCAGGGCCAAGATGAGGTGAGGTAAGTAGGCCCGGGTCATGCAAATGCAGGGGCAAATCCTATCATTGTTTAAAATTTGGATGCTTTCTCATCATGGATTTTTTTTTTTTTTTGCATTGATTTTCTTTTTTCTTTTCTTTTCTTTTTTTTTTTGGAGAGGTTCTTGCTATAGGGCATGTGCGCTCACCAGACAGACAGAAAGAGACATAGAGACAGAAAGCGAGAAATCACCCCCCGGGGGGATGGTCACGCTGCAATCCCTTCTCCTCCATTCTCTTCTCGGGATCTTGGGCACGCACGCACACGCGCCCAGCGTGAGTTCTAAGCCACTGGGTCCGGGACTCGAACCACAGTCGACTACATGGGAGTCCAGCGACATAGCAATTACGCTAACTGTTGGTTCCTGCCTTAATTTTCTTTAAAGTATTGCATTAACAAAACCCGCTGATGGTATGATGGTTACGTTGCTGGATCCCATATGGTTGACCACAATTCGAGTTTTGTACCTGGCCATTTGAAACTCATGCTGGGCATGTGTGCATGCATGCCCAAAATCCTAAGAGGAGAATGGAGGAGAAGGGATTGCAGTGTGACCATCCCCCCTGGGGGGTGATTTCTCGCTTTCTGTCTCATGTCTCTCTCTGTCTCTCCAGCAAGTACATGTATCGTATAGCAAAAATCGCTCTTAAAAAAAATGTATTGCATTACACTTATTTATCTTGGGGGCCAGATGGTAGTGCAGCAGTAAAACACAATGCTCTGTGAGGCAATCCCACACAGCAAGGCTTGCAGTTCAAATCCAGAGACCTCCTTGAGGACACCAGGCATGTACTTGCTCATGATTTGGGTGCTGGCTGAGGCTGGGGGTGGATCATAGCATTGGGACCTTGTTAGGGATCTCTGTTTCTTTGTGTTTCTCTGTCTCTCTTACTCATGGGGAAAAAAATTAATTTTTAAAAATTAATTATTTGGGGCCAGCACTGTAGCACTAAGGTTAGGCATTGTGAAAAGGAAGTCAAATTTCACATGGCCAGTGAGGGTTTGAGTCCCAGTCCTGTCAGCTTAAAAATATCCTTTCTCCATGTAAGTTCAGCAGTGTTATCACTGCACCACCACCTGGCCCCAGCTACTTTATAAGAGGAAGCCTAACATTGCTTTCTCATAGATTCTCCAGAAGCCATAAGCCCCCTTCTTCCGGGCTTACTGCCTCTCAGTTTTGTCTTTGCTTATTTTGACAAAGGATCTTCTTAACTTTGTCTATTGGGCTTCTTCTGCTCTTCCATTCCATCCTTCCTACCTTTTCCATGATAACCCACATCAGATGCCAGGGAGAGAAACAAGGAGGCCCAGACCTTTCTTTCTAAGGTCTTTTGCTATTTATTTTTAAATACCAGAGAGCATATGTACATATCAGAGAAAGAGAAGGTACCTCCCCCCACAGCACACACACACATACACACAGGGCCTGGTTATGCTGTAATCCTTCTTCCTCTATTTCTTCATCCCATCAGGCTCTTGGCCAAGTACTCATGCGTCCTGCATATTGCCCCTGGAAGAGGGGACATGGTAGGCTGTCTGGGATCTGGTTCTCTCTGAACAGCACTTAACCTCTGCACTAAGGGGCCGGCCCTGCTAATGTAACTTTTGAGCTTCTCGGTTGAGATGAACACAATGAGGAAGGCCCCATTTCTTTTTAAAGAACTCTTTCTTGCACCAGTTACAATGATAAATAGTGCCTCTGTGGCAAACCATAGCCAGCTTTATGTTCTGTAACTTCAAGTGCTGGATGATGTACTCAGAAATAAAATTCTCAAGTAATTTTAACTGTGCTAACCACGGCAGCCCTGGGAAAATTCCTAGTATGGTAAAAGAGTAGACAGGCCTTTGAATGCAGCTGTATTTCCTCATTCCTACCACAACCTTCAGCCTAACACAGTATGGAGGGAAGCAGAGCCATGATTCTGGACTCTTCTGATCTGGCGATATCATTACCCTGTGAGGACAGTGAAGACCCCTGGATTTCAGGCCTCTCTCTGTGAGGATCTAATGACCAACTATGCCATTGCCTTGTACCATGGATGCTTCTGTCCACATTGCTTGCTGTATCATGGGTAAACTGACATGAAAATAAATGACCTGAATCTTCCTTATCATCCCAGCCCTTCAAAGACTTGAGAGTCTGGGCTGGCTCAAACTCACTGATACTGTCTCAATGTTTCATGACTATTATTATACATGTGACCTCACATACTGATTCCTGAAAACTCATTGGCCTGATGAGAAACACAATTATCCATGCAAATCATTTTATAAATAAGTAGTACGAGGAACACATTAACCATAATGCTATGCATTCACGAAGAGACTTGACCATAAAATCTTACCAGGACTGTGTGCATGCCGGTGTAGAGCCTGCTAAGACACACCAAGGTAGAAAACAGCACGGCCATCATCAGTCCCAAAGCAAAGGGATACTGCAGGAGGAGAAGAGAACACGAGGATATAAGATCATGCTCAGAGATGCACGTCTGGTGTCGTAGGTGAGAACAGGATCCATTATGCAGTAATTGCCCATCTGAATCTTGCATTCTCTAGACTAGCAACCTGGTTATCTAGAAACATTTTCTTTTTTTTTTTTTAGGTTGGGAAATGAAGAAGGGGAAGGTACACAGGAACATAGTTCATAGAAATTTACACAGCCTATAAACATGCAAATGAGACACAGTAGAACTGGAGTGCATGTTCCCTATAGCTAAAACCAAAACAAAGAAGAACTTGCTGGGCCAGCAGGTGGTATGGGGTTTAAGGCACTCGCACATGGTCAGTTTTGTGATTCAAGTCTAGACTGTGGGTTGAGAATCAAATCAGGTATGTGTGGGTGCATCCTCAAACCCCAAGAGGAGAGTGAAAAAAAAGGGACTGCAGCATGGCCATCCACCCTAGGGGTGATTTCTCACTCTCTTTCTCTCTCTCTGTGTCTGTGGCGACTGTCCCTTTCCATTTAGGAAATGGAGATCTAAACCCACGGGCCCATTAGAAAGCTGCAGAGGTAGAACTAGACCTTACACTAGTGCTGACCTCTTCCAGACCTGTCAGACTGACCCCCTGCTTCTGCATAATCTGCAATGTGCAATGGCCCTAGATTTCTAGGGCAAGAGGGCAGAGCAAAATGATTCCGCCGCTTACATGCAAGATTGCTAGATTTAATGAAATTCACAATTTCTAGCAGGCAGAAGGTAAAACTTATGAAATCACACAAAACTAGAGCAATAGTTCTAAAAAAGGAGGGAAAAACTTCATTGTAGTAATAATATAACCTTTTTAAAGGCCTTACTATAACTAGCAACTAAGCAGAAATTACATGAAATCCTCCTGTTTTCAATGTTTATTAATCTCTTGTCATTTAGACAGTCCAGAAAAATGAAAGCTATCATTTCTAATGGCTGAGCCCAGCTCAGGGGCAGAGGCATTCTTGGTGGCTACTCGGGGGCACAGACTGTCTTCTGCTCCAAGCCTGGAGAGTCTGGCAGAAGAATTTGGTAGAATCGTCTTAGCCCTGGAAGATCATTTACTAGGATCATAAACTCTGTGTCTGTTCTAAACAGCGAGTATAAGCATTGGATTCAAGTGCTGTCTAGTCAAGCAGCTCAGAGGCAGATGCTTGCTGAGGGGCAGACAGAACTGCTGGCCACCTGGAAGAACCTGCATGATGTTACTTGTCCTGGTGTGATCATTAATGGTGCCCACCTTTCCTCTCAGGCACACCTGCTAAAGTATATAGTATAGGGACCAGCAGTTAGTGTAATGGCTATGTTGCTGAACTCCCATGTAGCTGACTGCGGTTTGAGTCCCGGACCTGGTGGCTTAAACTCATGCCAGGTGCATGTGCGCGCGTGCCCAAGATCCCGAGAGGAGAATGGAGAAGGGACTGCGGTGTGGCCATCCCCCTTGGGGGGTGATTTCTCGCTTTCTGTCTCTCTGTCTTTCTGGCGAGCACATGCGCCCTATAGCAAAAACCTCTCAAAAAGGAAAAAATAAAAGAAGGAAAAAAAGTATACATTATTATATGATCCCTTTATTTATGAGTAAATTGTTGTGAACAGGGTCAACAGGAGTCAGTTCCCCTCAGTCTTTTCTTTCTTTCTTTTTTTTTAATGTTTGCTATGGGTTGCATGTGCTCACCAGAGAGAGAGGGGGGTAAATAAGAAAGCACCCTTGGGTGTGTGTGGGAAGAGGGGGGATGACTACACCATAGTCTCTTCTCCTCCATTCCCCTCTCAGGATTATGAGCAGGCACACACACATGCCTAGAATGTTTCTCAAGCTGCCAGGTTGGGGTCTCAAACCACACAGTAAGCCATGTGGGATCCAGCTGTCTTAACCACCACACCACCTGGCTGGCCCATAGTCTTTATTTCATAAATGCTAAAGTCCCTCATAGGAGCTCTAAGAGAAAGTCCTGGAGTGCAGCCTCTGCCTGCCTCCTCATTATGTGGGTAATCTTCGAACTTGAAGAAGAGTCAGACCAGCTCACCTGGTACCTGTCCATGGTAGAGATGAGCAGGGTGAAGGCAATGGCAGTGGCCGCCATGGCATGGGTGGACGGCATTCCATACTCAGCCATCACTCTCTTCTCCAGCACCACAACGGGAGGGGAGGAGGGGCGGGGCCACTTCAAGATGTCCTTGGCCATCTGACCAATGTACATCACCAACTGCAAAACCCAAGATCTGAGGTTAGTCTAACCAAATAAGGAAAATGAATGAATTTCTAAATGACATGCATTTATTTTGAGATTCCCAGTTTGACTCAAATCTCCTCTGACTATCTATTTACTGGGAAAGTCTTGTATTATAGAATGCTATTTTAGTTGATAAAAAGAGAACAGGCTTTCTGGATTCCACTGGACCTTGAGCAATTAAGATTTGGCATTAATACACACATTATTTATTTTAATCATATGCTTAACAAATACTCTCATAGTTCATATATTAGCCAGGAATTATTTAAGAGCTTTAACCTACTTAATCCAATAATACCTTCAACATGCAGACTCATTCTACACATGAATAAACCAGGGCACTCTCTTCTACAGACACACTGTTAGTAAGTAAGTGGCATAACTGATTAGAATTCAGGAAGTCTGGGGCCGGGTGGTGGAATAGTGATACTGGAACAGGACCCACATGGGAAAGGTCCTGTGTTTGCATCCTAGGACCTCTCTGGACATGCCAACTGAGACTGGAGGTGGATGGTGGTAAGAAGACCCTGTTTGGGATGCCTGTCTCTCTCTCTTTCTCAGAAGAAATAAAAATGAATAAACGAGACAAAAACAACAACAATAAAAACAACTCAAGAAATCTTAGTTTAGAGTGTCTGGTTTAAATTACCACTTGATGATACCTACCTCCAAACCAGGGATGGTTCTGCACTAAAGATAATCTAACATTCAAATCAGGAAGCCTTGTTTTCAAGTTATAACTGCAAAAATAACTATTCCTATGGAACATCTAGTTAAGCATTTAAAAAAACAATTTTATCAGAGGGCACATGTGCTCATCAGAGAGAGACAGAGAGAAACAGTGAAAAAGAATGTGAGAAAGCATCCCCCATAGGGAATGACATTCAGCAATCCTGTCTCCTCCATCTCTCCCTTTCCTCAAGATTCTGGGCATATGCACACATGCACCTGCTGTGTCTCGCAAGCTTCTGGGTCTGGGACCTGAACTGTACAGTCAGCCCTATAGGATGCAGCCATCCTAAGCACCATGCCACCAGAGAGCCTATTAAACATTTTTTAAATTTTTACATTTTATTCATTTTAGAGAGCACGTGTATGTGTATGAGAGAGAGGGAAGTGCTCTTAACAGTCTCTCTCATCACACCACGATTCCCTTTCCCCAGGCCTCTAGCTTGTCAGTATCTTGGGCAGATGGGCACATGCCCTGCATATTTTCAAGATGAGCTGGGACCCAAACCTGTGGTCCCACATGGCTTCCAGCATTGCAGTTCAGTTTGCTTCCAAATGTGCCACCAGGCTGGGGCAAGTTAAACATTTTTTGAATGCCGTATTCACCCTAATGTATGTAGGCAACATACTGGATTTAGTTTAACTTTGTTCAGTAATCGGGAGCATTGGTACAATAAGTGGCACAGGTATTTTCAGCCCTAAAATAAAGACAACTCAATATGGGTCTTTTTTTTTTTTATGAGACCATTAATAAAGAAATCTTCTAATCTTACTTCTTCTGTTTTTATTTTTTTTTTTAAAGCAGAAGACAGAAATCAAAATTTAATGCCTGTACTTCCCAAAATAGATAGGACTATTAAGAGCAAATTTATTGACTCCCAAAGCACTGGCAATAATCCCTAAAATAGACAAGTGGGACTATATCAGACTAAGAAGTTTCTGCACAGCAAAGGACACAGTAACAAGTGTGAACTGATAACCCTCAGAATGGGAAAATATTTTTGTTAAATATGCCTCAGACAAGGGACTGATAACCAGAATACACAGGGAACTCAAATGCCTTATGAGATAAAAAATGATTAACCCAATGAAAAGATGGGAAAATGAGCTGAACATAAATCTCTAAGGAAGACATACAAACAGCCAAAAAGCATGAGGAAATGCTCAACATCCCTCATCATAAGGGAGATGAAGATAAAAACTACAATGAGATACCACCTAACACCTGTCAGAATGGCAAAGATTAAGAATATAAAAAGTGATAAATGTTGGCAGGGATGTGGTAAAAAGGGAACCCTCCTACACTGTTGGTGGGAATGTAAACTGGTTCAGCCACTGTGGAGAACAATATGGAGGTTCCTCAAAGATCTACAAATAGAATTTTACAAATAGAACTACCATTTGATCCAGCAATCCCACTTCTGGGTATTTACCCAAAGGACAGGAGAATGCTCAGTCAGAAAAGTGCTTGCACATCCATGTTTATTGCAGCATTATTCACAATTGCCAAGACATGGAACCAACCTAAATGTCCACAAACTGATGAATGGATTGGAAAAGTGTGGTATATATACTCTATGGAATACTACTCAGCCATAAAAAATAACAAGACCCTGGCATTTAATAGAAAGTGGTCAGATATGGAGGATCTATTGCTGAGTGAAGCCAGGCTATGAAAGAAAGATATTGTATGTATTATTGTATGTATCCACTTAATATAAATCGACTATCTGCACTCTATGGTAAAGAGTGAAATATTGGAGGACATAAAAGCAGTGAAAGTACTTAACGAAAATAAGACAGTGTGAAATGGGGGGGGGTGAAGAGAAGAGGATAGAGAAAGCTAGCAAGAGAACAAATAGAGAGGCAGGACAAATGGGAAACAGATACGGCTTATTACCTGTTGATGATGACATGTATAGTATTCTCAACTGGATTGGTCTGAGAAGTATTTCATGATGGGTAAAGTCTTTTTACAAGCAAAATGAAAAATAGTGATTGAGAGTTTAAAAAATAATAATAATAATAATGATTGGGAAAAACATTGAAAAGATATTGAATGATGAAGTGGGGAGATTAATGTCTCTGTATTGACTGACATGCATGGCATTCCCTTTTGAAAAAGGCAATGTAATACACTGTAAAGTTATATGCAACCCAATGTAATATAAACAAAATTATGATGATAATAAAAAAATAAATTTAAAAAAGAGCAAATTTATTTATTTTGTCAGAGCTTTACAGTACGATGCCATGATTTGTAATGAAAGAGTGAAGAGCAACATGCTAATTTTGGTACCTGCCTTTGCAACACCAAGTACGACCTGGGGACTGGCAGCATCAGCACTGCCTGGGAGCTGTTTTAAAGCATTAGTGGGACAAAGAAATGTGGCATTATCTGTTGAAGCTATTTTACAGTTTAATCAACTGGACTAGGGAGAAATGTTCCTATATTGAAATATTCACTTTGTATGCTAAATAATGTGATTGAATGTATAAAAGGAAATGAAATTCAAAAAATGCAGAATCTGGGCCAGTTCTGTGGCACATGCATTGCTCAAGAGAAGCAGGATTTCACATGGTGACCACAGTTCAAAGCCCTGGTCCAGTCAGCCTGAAACACACCAGGCATGTGCATGAGTGCCCAGGACATGATGGGCTGGAGAACTGGAGGAAGAGGGTTGTGGTATGACCACACCTTGTGGAGTACATTTCTCTCTCTTCCTCTCCATCTCTCACATGCACACACACGTGCTTTATTAAGAGTAGAATCTCAGGGCCCTCCATAGACCTGCTGAATTATAATCTCCATTTTCATAAGACTGCCAGGGGATTCGTGTGCACAGGAGAACCTGAGAAACCCTGCTCTGTCCTGTATTCTTGCACAGATCACTTTGTCATGGGCTTTAATCATAAATCTTCTCATCTTACCATGACTGTATTGATCTCACTAAGGCTTTATTTAGCTTGTAATAGATGGAGTTACCTCGCCTTGGAGCAAAGTCCACTATGAAGGATTGTTTCAAAATAATTTTGGTTAGTCAGCAGGATTGCTTTAGGAGTTCCCACATTCTGGTGCTTTCTTTTTAATTCCTTGAGTTGCTGGTTAATTCCAAGTATTATTCCAGCATTCCCCACTATCCTCTAGAAGATGCTGTGTACGTTTTTGAGTTCCACTGCTGCTTTGCTCTGGGTTAAAAACCAAGAACCACTGCCTGTGCACAGCAGGCCAAATCCACAGGCCATAAAGCCTCAGGGACAATGACTCCAAATTCCATGGCTGTGATCTCATTGGACTTTGAAACTTAACCTCTTCACCATACCCCTCTTATCAGGAACTACTCTCCTGGAAACCAGTTCACTCTTTCAATGTTTCTGTCTCCCTCTTGTGAACCTGTAAAAACCACATCTAACTGATCATTATTTGGGGAGTTGAAAATTTTTCAGGTATTATTGACTACTACAGAAGCTGCTTGACATACTGTTTCTCACTGCTGCCCATTTCGTGCCCAACAACACAGACAAAATATTACAGGCATTATGACTCATTCTAGTTCACTCAAAAGTAATTAAAGGGAACCAGCAGTTAGCGTAATGGCTATGTCGCTGGACTCCCACGTAGTCGACCGCGGTTCGCATACTAGACCCGGTGGCTTAAACTCATGCCAGGCGCGTGTGCGTGCGTGCCCAAAATCCCGAGAGGAGAATAGAGGAGAAGGGATTGCATTGTGGCCATCCCCCCTGGGGGGTGATTTCTTGCTTTCTGTCTGTCTGTCTCTGTCTGTCTGGCGAGTGCACGCGCCCTATAGCAAAAACCTCTCAAAAAAAAAAAAAAAAAAGATTCATAGGCATAGAAACTATATCCAGCATTTTTTCTGACTATGATGAAATTAAACTCAGTATTAACGTCAAGAAACACCCTTGGAAATACACAAACACATGGAAACTAAACAACCTACTTCTTAATGACTTCTTAACTGCTGAAGAAATTAAGTCTGAAATCAAAAAATTTATGGAAACAAATGAATGAGTACATGAGTTTCCATAATCTATGGGACACAGCAAAAGCAGTCATAAGAGGGAAATTAATAGCAATTACTACACATAAAAAAGATGGAAAGGTGGCAAATAGATAACCTAACATCATGCTTCAGGGAATTGAAAAAACAACAACAACAACAACAAAATGCCTGGCGAAAATAAATAATAAGGACTCAAGCAGAAATAAATGAAATAGTAAATAA